GAGAGAGAGAACCAAAAGTATATATATATAGAGAGAGAGAACTAAAAATATAGAGAGAGAGAGGTACCAAAAATATAGAGAGAGAAAGAGAGAAAGAGGGAGAGCGAGAGAGCGCGCAACAGTTTCTGGACTGCAAGAAACCTGGGTAGCCATTAGATGGCAGCTACTAATTAGAGCTTTCTTATCTCCTTGCTGCCATCTAATAGCTGCCTGGATTTTTACAGCCCAGATATAGTGTCCCTACTCTCCTAATGTTTCATGGCATTAGACTTAGAAACAGAAGAGCATGTGCAGGTGTAATACTGATCTGGCTGGCCTCCAAGGAGTCTGCATATTGATGAGGCAGAATAGTCTGGGCAGGAAGGACACAGGGAGGCAGAACAATCAGCTGACGCGAAAGCAAAATTCCAAGCTTTCTTCTTTTTCTTAGCAGCAACCAGTGCAAATTTTAAAAGTTTACTATTAGGACAGCTGATGACCTGCTACTAAAAAAAGCTAAAAATCCCATCTATGTATGAATTGAGGGTGCAGAGAAAGAAAACAAAGAAAGTTTGTTTATTCCTTTATTCATGTATTTGAATTATTTATATGGCCACCAGTCTCATAGCAATGACTCTGGGTAGCATACAAAAAGTTAAAATCAAAACAGTAAAATTAAACCAACAATCTATATAAGAAATGTCCAAGATTGAAAAGAATTGTTCCCAATTTACAAGGGGGTTAAAATGCCATTTCATGGGAGAAATTGCTGCTGTGGCCAGAATGAACCTGAGACCTTAGTGCACACATTTATTTGTTTGTTTAAATTTATTGGCCGCCCAATTTCAGTGGACTCTGGGCAGCCCATAAAAATAAAAAAGACATAAAAAAAGCTAAAAATATTAAATCAACAGGCAGCCCAGACTAAAATACTCCAATAACAAAATCCACAAAACAAACAGGGCCATTAAACAAATAACAAATATCAATCCCAGGCCTAGGACCAAGGCCAGGTTTTCAAAGCATTTGGGAACCCTAGGGGAAAGGGCGCCATCCTTATCTCTGGGGGTGCTGTTCCAGAGGGTGGGGGCCACAACAGAGAAGGCATTCTTCCTAGGTACCACAAAATGACATTTAATGGAGGGGACCTGGAAGGCACCTACTCTGCTGGAATGTACTAGGCAGGCAGAAATGATTGGAGACAAGCAGTCCCTCAGGTATCCTGGCCCTATGCCATACAGGGCTTTATAGATAATAACCAGCACCTTGAATTGCACTCAGAAGCCAACTGGCAGCCAATGCAGCAGCTTGCATAGCAGTGGTGACACATGGGCACACTGAGAGGCACCCATTACTGCTTGTGCCACTGTATTTTGAACCAGCTACAGCTTCCAGGTGGTCTTCAAGGGCAGCCCCATGTAGAGCATATTACAATAATCTAATCGTGAGGTGACAAGTGCATGAGTGACTGTCTGAAGGGCATTGTTCCTTTTATGAGAGTCACTTTTTTGTGAGATGGGCGGTATCTAAATTTGAAATATAAATAAATAAATAGATAAATAGATAAGTAAATAAATGAGAACCTACACACTAATATATCTATGCCTCCTTGTAGAGATCAAGCTTCTAATGAGGGAGAGGTGGTTGAGTTCCTACTCTCAGACTGGAACCCCACTGTCACAGAGTTGCCAAGTTCTTATTGGCAGCTATTGCCATAAGGAGGCTTTAAGATATCCTCATCTTGGAAGGATATAATCAGGAAGTTCTTTTATTCTTTATTTTAAATGTATTGTTATTTTATCTATTTTGTCTTGCTCTGTTTTCTTTTATTTCATTTTATTTTGCTTACTTTCTATACATGTACATTTTAACTGGCAGATCCTTAGCGTTTTATTGCTTTTATTGTATTTGAGCCTGTTTTTAGGTGTTGTTTTATTTAGTGTTGTAACTACTTTGCTGGTCATTGACCGTAAATAAATAAACTTTAAAAATACAAGAAACGCAGCAATAAAACTAGTCAGCCAGCAGAACTTGCTTAACCTCCTGGTCAAAATGCTTGAGAGAACAGCCTAGTGTTTAGTGCCTTGTGAAAGGCTAGCAGCTGTGTAAGTATGTGAAAGAAAAGTGTTCTTGTGAGTGGAGAGTGTCTATATCAGTTGGTGACATACTTATATTACTCATTACTGTTATAATTATTTTTAGTTGGAGTTAGCACTTAATTTTTAAAAATATCATTCAATGTCTTCCTTTCTTTCATCATATCCTCTTTCATAGGTTATTTTAATTGCTGTCCTAATCCCTCATTTTCAGTAGCTTTGAACTTATACCAACCTTCCCCAATTAAAAGTTGGAGAGAAAGAAATAGTTCTAA